TACAGCTATAGTCTTTTTTATAATAGTAGAAATATAATATTTTATATAATATATTTTTTTTATATTAGTAAATTTGCCGGCCAGGGCAGCAGCAGTATAAACAACTAGGTAGTATAATATTAAATTTTAGACTTTTTTATTTTTAGTATCTTAAAAAATCAGTCTATTCTAAAACTGTAGTAAGATTAGCAGTATTTCTAAGTATTATTATAGCTATCTAATCTATATTTAGTTTATATACTAAAATAATATAGGGATAAAAAAAATAAAATAGATTTTTAAAAAAAAAAAAACTTACTAAACTACAGTTTGCCTTTTTAGCAGCGTATTGCTGGTACTTTACTAATAATACTATATTAAAAACACAGCAGAGTACAAAGTTTTTCCTATTAGCAGGATTAAAATTCTTAACTAAAATATATAAGTATTTTAAATACTATATAGTATAAAAAAAAAGGGCTGGGCAGCTAAAAAATAAAAAGTTAATAATATAAGTATTTTAATTTATTAATAAATCTACAGTAATTTGATAGCACCTTAGCAGTACTAAAAATATAAAAATATATATACTTATACTTATAAAGTAGATTTAAAAATAATAGATAATAGAAATAATACAGAAATATAGATAAAGCACAACAGTAATAAAGTTAGATAATAAAAAAATTATCTAATACAAATATTAACCTGTAATTATAATATTAATATTTTATATAAAAAATAATAATATTTCTAAAGTAAAATAGTATTAAATTATAATAACTATATCTAACTAAAACTAGCTTTAAAAAGTTCTGTCTACTACTACTGTATTTACTAAACAGATTAGCTTATTTATTAAAATAGTACTATTATACTGCTATTATACTACTAAAAACAGCTATATATAAAGGGGAGCCTAATTATTATAGGTGATTCCTAAAGGTATATTAAACTACTAACAGCTTGCCTATATATTCCTAATAAAAAAGTTGTAATATTAACAATTTAAAAACTACTCTCTCCAGTATTTAACTCCTAGAAACTTGCTATACCTTCGGAATAGTAAGGATTAGTCTTAAAAATAATAGACTGCTACTATTCTATACCTAACTGACCTATTTATCCTTAACATTAAAGCTAAAATAAAAGCTAAAACTTAGTTTTACTTATCTTACTTACAGATAAAAAAAGGTAGATGTTAAAAATATTAAAAATACAGAAAATACAGATTTTAGAATATATTTTAAAAAATAAAAATATTAATACAGAGAATAAAAAGGTAAAGAAAGATTATTATAAAAAATAAAAAAATAAATAGTAAAAGATAAGAAAGTTAAAATATATTATATAAAAAAAAGATATAAAAGTTAAGATATATTATATAAAAAAAAGATTTTATCCTTTAATAAATAATTATATATATAAGAAATTAGAAAGACTATATTAAAAAAAAATAAATAGTAAAGTAAGGTTTTAATAAGATAATACTTCTATTTTTAGTAAGATTTAGATAAGATTATACTTATTTATATTTTAGTTTATAAAGTAGAATAGTTATATCAACAGTTTAAGTTACTATTATAAATAAGTATAAATAAAAAATATAACAGTTAGTATAACTCTAAGATTAAAGTATATTATTATAGTAAAATAGTATAAAAACTACTTTAGATCTAGTTAAAAAGATATAGTTTTAGTATAATCTATTATTTATATAAAGATTAGTATGCCTAGATTTGAAGGGCTTATAATTAGTAAAAAATTTATACAACTTTATAAAACCTCTATATAACTGGAGAAAACTGTAGTACAACCACTGTAACTTACCCCCTCGGCCCGCTATGTATTACAGTTCTTTGTTTTATATAATTCTTTTCACTTAGTAAATATAATAGTTTCTGGGTGAATAAAATTTCTTTTTGTACTATTTATACCCCTACCAGGCCCAGTATAACGGGACGGGTAACCCGGATGAACCCAGTAGCTGGAGCTGTAAGCTCTTGTACTAGAATTGTTGAAGGGGCATTGGAAGGAGGCCTTTGGCCGCTCTGAATTGAAGTCAAATGGCAAGATCTGATGACTTGGGAGACACAAGTTCATCGTTGTATTTGTTCTTGTGGTAAATAATCATGAGTAAATTTTTCATGCTGGAATTTTGGGCCGAAAGTCCTAGAGTCAGAGTCATTGAAGGGGGTATTCTGCCTTTTTATCCCTCTTCTTTCGGCCTACCGTATCTTATCAGATCGGCATCCTTAGCCCCGAGTTCAATCATGTCACAAAGAGGTCGGTTTTGGACTTTCCCATTCAAGGCCCTCTTTGCGAGCTGTGGGGGAAATGGGCAGATTCTGCCGCTTCTGATTGGTGATTTGTGCCCAGTATCCCGCATCCCGGCCTTAAGTAGGTCAAGAACTCCGAATCTTCCATCTTCATAACCGGGCAATGGGAATTACGAGCCAGCCGCGTATGACATGTACAGGTACGTAGCACGATCCACTGGAGCTCTCCGGTCTGCGCTGTAGATCATCTTAATCATAGACGATTATACCTGCAGGATCTGGCCAGAGGTCTCATCTCAATGACCTGAAAGGGGCGGACTGTCCCCCCTGTTCCATAGGACACTTCACAGGGCACTGATGCTTGGATCAGGAGACCACTGTACCACTGCACCACTGCACCACTGGAATCATTGAGCCCTGATGTGCTTCGTACTTGCTGCTACGCTTTCAGCCGTGGTCGCCGTGCACGCGACTACTCTTCAGGATGTGTGCACTCCATCCTACGTGAAATCCAAGTTACCGTCCGATTCCATGTACCCAGGGATCACCCTCGACCGTTCTTTCGTCGAAGCCAATCCGGTTTACAACTCGACGACGAGCGGCTCCGCCATTTTTCCAACCCAGAGCATCGACTACTGCAACGTGACCCTGGCCTATTCGCATGAAGGCCGCAACGACACGGTCAAGCTTCGCTTCTGGCTGCCCCGCCCGGATCGGTTTGAGCGGAGATATCTGTCCACCGGGGGGGCGGACTACTACATCAATCAAGGCGTCCAGCAGCTTCCCGGCGGGGTCATCTATGGAGCGGTCTCCGGTTCCACCGATGGAGGCTTTGGGAGTTTCGACACCGGGGTCGACGAGGTTCTCCTTCTGGCGAACGGCACGCTGAACCACCAGCATGTCTACATGTTCGGGTACCAGGCCCACCACGAACTCAGCACGATCGGCAAGAGCCTGACCCGGCGCTTCTTCAACATGACCGCGAGCGACAAGCTCTACGCCTACTACCAGAGCTGTTCGGAGGGCGGTCGGGAGGGTTGGAGCCAGGTGCAGCGGTTTGGCGAGGAATGGGACGGCGCCGTCATCGGGGCGCCTGCCATCCGCTACTCCTTCCAGATGGTCTACCACCTCTGGGCCAACGTCGTCGAGAAGACCCTCAACTACTTCCCGTCGCAGTGTGAGATCGCGGCGATCGTCAACCAGACCATCCGGGCCTGCGATGGCTACGACGGCAGGCATGACGGGGTGGTGTCGCGCTCCGACCTGTGCAAACTGCACTTCGATCTCAACTCCACCATCGGAGCGCGCTACTACTGCGCGGCTGATGGCGACGTTCCGGTCCAGAACTCGACCATCTCCGCTGCGGCCGTCGAGGTCTTCCGCACGATCCTCGGGGGCATGAAGGATCTGCAGGACAACCAGGTCTACCTGTCGTACCAGCCGGGGGCGCTCTTCTACGATGCGCAGTCCACGTACGACACCACGACCGGGCTCTGGGGACTGGACATCAATTCGTTCGGGGGCGAATACGTGGCCCGCTTCCTGGACCTGGTGGACGCCGAGAACCTCTCGTCCCTCGACAACGTCACCTACGATACCCTCAAAGACTGGATCCAGCAGGGCTGGCAGATGTACGAGGATTCCCTCCACACCGCGTGGCCGGATCTCACCCCGTTCCACCGGGGCGGCGGCAAGATCCTGCACTACCACGGTGAGCAGGACGGGAGCATCCCCACCGCGTCCTCCGTGCACTACTACGAGTCGGTCCGCCGCGTCATGTACCCCGATCTGGCCTACAACGCGAGCAACGCCGCCCTGGGCGATTGGTACCGCCTTTTCCTCATACCTGGGGCATCCCACTGCATGAACAACGACCTGCAGCCCAACGGGCCGTTCCCGCAGACCTCGCTCGCCACCCTCATTCGGTGGGTGGAAGATGACCTCGTCCCTGTCACTTTGAATGGCACCGTGCTCAGCGGGAGCTTCGAGGGCCAGGAGCAGCAGATCTGTGCGTGGCCTCTGCGTCCCATGTGGTATCACAATGGCACGGAGATGCACTGCGAGTATGACCAGTCTTCGCTGGATACCTGGACCTGGGACTTTGATGCTTTCAAAATGCCAGTTTACTAAACGGTCGGTGTTCACTTCTGTTCATATCAGTCTTCATTAGGGAGATGGAGTCTGCGCATATGGAATTGCGACATGGCGGCTAGAAACGTTTGATCCCTGTTAGTCGATTCATTGCAGATGTTCACTTTTTCCTGTGCGGGGAGCAGTGTTTTTCCTCTTCCTTCTTGTGATGAGAAATCTACTGCTATAGTCACATATGAAGGTTAGAGACGACGCCTCATATGTCCATCACTACGGCGAATAGAAAATATTGGTCGAACCGAGATGTATAGTCTTCGAAATACTTGTCAACTCAGAGTAGGGTTAGATATCCTTTGCCCAAACAGAAATGATCTAACAGCTACCTCCGAAGCCGAAGGCTCGCAGCCCGGTACCCCGGGTTGCAGATCCACCGGCTCGTAAAGCCAATCACCTCACCCTCTTGATATTTCTGGCTCTCTGCGTGTGGTTTGTAATGCTTGCTAATCACCGATGCGACGATTTTCAGCTCAAAGATACAGTACAGCAGTGGCTAAATCGGGATATAAGTCTCACCTGCAGTATCAGGTACTGCATGGAACAACCCAGCAGAACTGAGCCTTAAAACATTACTTTGAACATCCCAAGAGCAAGATGCCAACCAGCTATTTGATCACCGGAGCCGCCCGAGGTCTTGGAGTATGTATGCTTCCGAGGTCCCCTCCTTACCTCACCAAGTCATTGGCCCTAACATGACTCTAGTACGCCCTCGTCAAGGTCCTAGCCGCCAAGCCTGAAACCATCATTCTGGCCCTCGTGAGGAACAAGAAGGCTGCCGAGCAGCGTCTTGCGGCGGACAATATCGCCAACGTCCATGTTCTTGTCGCCGACGTCACTGATGACAGCGCTTTGAAGGATGCCGCTGCGGAGGCACGGAATATCCTCGGCTCCCAGGGGCTGGATGTGCTCATCCACAACGCCGCTTTTGTGAGCGAGCAGACAGCCCTAACTTCTGTCAACGACTAGTGGGGTTTTCCTTTACTGGCGTATGCCCGCGATTCATGACTAACATACCATCCTGTTCTCCAGCGAGAACGAACCGAAGACAATCATCGAAGACACACAGCGGAGTGTCGAGGTCAACGTCTTTGGAACCCTGAAGGTTACTCTATCCTTCCTGGACCTCGTGCGGCAAAGCCGGATAAAAAAGGTGGTCGCAATTTCCAGTGGGATGGGCGATGTTGGTAAGCCACACACAAAAACCCCGGCAAACGTTGCTGCTGTGGTCACGACACACTGAGAATTCCCAGACATGATCAATGAAATTCAGCTCGCCAACGCCGCGCCGTACGCGATCAGCAAGGGAGCTCTCAATGTCCTTGTCGCCAAGCTCAATGCCGCATACGCAAGGGAAGGCATCCTCTGCATGTCGATCTGTCCGGGGCGGGTGGATACTCTAGAGGGGCCAATGCCGGAGTGTACGGTTTTCTTTTCTTTTTTTTTGGGGGGGGGGGACTCGCTTTTATCCCCGTCATGGTCTAGTTAAGAGCTGATGGTCTTTTTGTATAGTGCAGGAGCCCATCCTTTCTCGCGTGAAAGGCATAGAAGCAAAGTTCGAGGCGTACGTAGGGGCTAGGGTTGTTCCGATGCGGCCGGAGGATGCTGCAGAGAGTGTTTTGGCCGCGGTTGACCGGCAGTCCCTAGCTGGTGGGTTCGGGGGCTCTTTCTGGAGTCACAATGGGACCAAGAGGTGGTCTTAGGGGTGGTAAGCTGAGCTGTTTGGGATGTGCTGAGCTCGGGTTTGCGGATCCAGTGGGGGATCAGTAGCTTCCCTTGATCGGCGAATATCTGGGAGAATCAATAGGTGCCATTTTGTGAATGCGAACTTCGGTTATCGGTATACAATGACATGGGACTATAGCTAAGGCCACTTCTGGTTCGTGGGTGACTTTATAAGCTGGTTACAGGATCTGCTGTGTGAAAGTTGTCTCGGGTGGCCAGACCGTCCGTCCCGTCCCAATGCGGAGAACGTCTTTATTCGCGTACTCAGTAAATATTTCCACGCTTACCTGCTATCTTAAATGATTCGAGGTTCTCAAGACGTTGAGCCCTCGTGTAGCTCAGGGGCTAACACCTTTCTATTGCGGTCGCATCACGGCCAACCTGGTCATAAAACCTTTATTCATTGAGCTAGAAAAGGGGTGTTTTGGCTGATTCTAGCCGCCCACGGCCCAGGAACGTTCATTGCAAGTTGCTGTCTAGCATCCTTTGTGTATTACGCCTCAGAAAAACCGAGTTTACAAAATCTCGGATGATCTGATCCTCGCTGGTGAACCCCGCCTGTCCAATTGTCCGCAAAATCTCCTCGGCGCGCGCAATGGGCCCAGGCGCAGCAGACACATCTCGCCCCAGCCGACATTGATCCTCTCCCGTTACCAGCTCCGGACGATCGGGAAACAATTCGCGGACTTTGTGTCGGAGATCGTTCCACGTGCGATTGACGTAGTAGGAGAAAATGCGCTCGTTGTCGATCGACCGGGACGCAACGGCCGCGACCAGTAGACGCGCCGTGTCCTGGACGTCGCTGATGAAAGCTTCAATGAAAGGTCAGTGAGAATATGCTTTCCTCAAACAAGGAGCAATACCAAGGTCAAGACCAACTCCCTCCCATTCTCCGCGGAGGGCACGGATCAACTGCCCAGTCGAGGATGTAGGCCCGGTGTTGAGGTTGTTCACGTCCAGCACGCGGCCGAACTGGCCATCCGGGACAATGCAATTGGCCACGAAGGGCGGATCGTTGCTTTTGACCCATCCCCAAAATGCCTGTTCGGCCAGGGTCCGGCCTGCACTGTAAACGGCGAGCTTTCGCTCAAAGGAGGCGACCACCGGCCCGTTGCGGACTTGATGAATAGCTTGATGGTTGAAGGTGTCGATGCGGATATCGTAGGGCTCGTTGTAGATGGTCGAGTGGACTGCTTTGGAGCTGGAGCCCAGAACAAAGCGCTGGACCCCAGCGCGAGCGGCGGCTTGGAGAGCGTTGACTACCCCGCGGATCAGAGGATCCAGTACATTGGTGGGATTCGCATCAAAGATGACGGGCATGGACGGGTAGATGACACCCGAAGCCCCTGCATTAACCCGTCAGATTCAACCATCATAGCCGGTCATCCACGGTTTAGGTTATCAGGTGCTGTTACCCTTGAAGGCCTCCTCAAAGGCACCCTCTTCTTCAAAATCAGCCACTTGAACGAGTTCGAACTTGTCCGGCCACTTCGCATCGAAGAGCGCATGCATCCAGATTCGATGGTGGTCAACATTGCGCACGGTACCGCGGACCCGGTAGCCAGCTTGAAGGAGCTTCTCGCAGGTTTCCACGGCGACGTATCCATTGGCTCCAACCAACACGACCGTCGAGTCGATGGGGATTGCTCTGTCGGGAATATGCATTGTGTCCTGCGAGTGGAATGTGTTGCAGAAGGGTGATATGGGCCCTACCATATTGGGGTTGCCCGATAATGCTTTTATATTTCTCACTTGAGAGTCCTGTGGATGGAGTCGCATACCGTATACCTGATCAATCTCATATGGGCTCAAAGCTTACAAATCGTGTTCCTGATTTAGTAAGTCACAGCTCCGTGGTATCCGGGGATCCTGCGTACACCTGGAACTCCGAGTTACGGGCCTGCACCTAGGGTTTGGTCAGGAATGAACAACTCGGAAGTCCGGGCCTAATGCGCAGTCTCCCTAGGGTTCTGCACTAGGGCGATATTGAACTTTTGATGTTGTCTAAGGCTGAAGATGCTTCATCCTAGTAGCATTATATGCGTAGCAAAGAACGATAAGATCTAGGACTTGACATCAGAATAGCCAGGGAGGGATGATATCATACGGGGGCACACTGTGATTTCTGAAGCATGTCCTAGGAAATTGATAATGCTCCACCTTGCGCCACCTATCGAGTTGAACGGCACACCTGGGCCGTCAGATACTCTTTGTGGGAGCGTGTTTATGTCTTCCAAGTACCAGACGGACATCGCCAAAAGAAGTTCCCTATTGCCTTCTGTATATTGCGGGCATGTGGAATTCATTATGAGCAGGCCCGGGTTACGAAGGATCCTGAGTAGCCTGCCAGGCTGTTCCTTAGCTTTTGGATCCGAGTGAATGTTGCTGGAGCATTCATCGTAGACGCCTTGGATTTGGGCGTCCGTATAGACGGACGGTAGTCTGCAAATAATACTTAGTTATTGCTTCGACGATGGACAGCCGTGATGTGATCGAATGGGTATGAAATAAGCTGAGCACTGGTATAATGCATCAATGATCCGCGAACGTGGGCAATGGACAATCCGTCGCATTTACTAGATCAAAGTCGTCAGCGGTGATCCTATCCACACTCCACCAGAAGGGTAACTCACCGATCGACATCATAATCATCCCAAAGTCATCCGCCTCCTCAAGCCACTTCTCCGCCCTCTCCTCCATCTTAATCCCCGGTCGAATCCGATCAAATTCACCCTGGATATATCCATGCCCATCCCATCTGGCAAGCCACCGGATATACAGAGAATTCCACTCCTGCTCCGACTTCGCCTGCCAAAGTATCTTCGCCGCAGGCGCAGGCATGAACCCTACCTGGCGGCAATCTAGCGGCGGAGCGTTGTGGAAGACGGATAGTGCCCAGCGGAGGAGGTAGAGCGATAGGACTGCGCGTCGCTTGGAGGTGACGTGAACCCAGGCGGTCCAGGTGGGACGCATTGCTTCTCTTTCCTCCTGGAGGAAAAGGCCCGTGTTGGCGGCGTGGTTGGCCAGTTCTTGGATCTTGTGGAGGAGAGTTGGTGGGGGCAGCGTTGGGCAGGAGCTCTCGCCGGGGAAGAGGAGGATGATCAGGTAGATTACTACTGCTTGAAGTATTGCGAGGAGGGCGGTTTCGTCGAGGTCATCGAGCTTCAGTCATCAGCCGACGTTGGTTTCAGAGTTGGATGTGCGTACGCACCTTGTTCAAGAGGCTGTTTGCTTCGTTCAGGATCAGGCGGCAGACTAAGTCCTCGGCTCCATGGCATTGCCCGTGCCACATTTTTACTAGAGTGAAGCAGTTGGCGAGGGACTGTGGTAGAGTCATATCATCGGCGATATAACTGTGGTGAATGAATGGAGGCGTTTGGAAATCTCCTGCAAGCATTCTAGGCCAGGATCGAAGAACACGGAAGATGAATTCCATGCTGTGGTTCGCCAGCGCCGCTGCGGGGGATTGTGCAGTTGGATCTGGTGAGAGCAGCGAGCTTGGAATCTCACCGATCAACCCCGTAGGGTATAATTGGGCATTGTCATTACGAACCAGAGCTGCGAGGTCGCGACGCGGGGACAAAGAAGAATTTACGTCAAGGGGAAAAGACAGGTCCCAAGGCGCAGGGTCGGCAAGCAGGGCCTCGAACAGGCTTGACGAATCAGCATCCTGTGGCTCCGGTGGAGTTGATATGTTCACTTGCGGCGCCAAAGTCGTCTGCTCCCTCTCTGGTGATGGAGACCCAGATGAGTCCAGGAACGGGTTTGAGTACTGGCAGGATATCTGTCGCATAGAGCACCGCGAGCAGCTAGGGCGCTTGAGATTACACCGCGTCTTGCCCGCGACACATTGGCTACATGCCTTGCGCCGTACAGTTTGCGGCTGGGGTTGATTGCACTTCTTCCGGAGGTGACGGATAAGCGAGGAGCCTGTTGATACTGCATAAGAGAGGGCACCGGAGATAGAGCTCAGAGGGGCTCACGATGGGTGAATTTGGTGGCACAGAAGGGGCACTCAGCTCTCTTCTCCACCGCTGCAGGTTCCATGTTGGCGATTGTGAAGATCTGATTTGAGATGGGAGATGGGTATCTGGACCACAATGCATCACTTACGTAGGGAGGGAGGGAGTTTCAAGGCGCGAAGGGCTCAGGGTGCAGCAGTGGTGGATCCCGAACCCGGAACTCCGGGCTGAGCTCGGCTACTATGCCTTTAAGGGAACAAATAGCCTTGGCAGCCCTGCATTTGATGGACGATTCCAGTCAACCAGTTGGCACAACAGTATTGAAGCTCTCCATCTGCCCTATGGGCGCTTCCATGATACCAAGTAGATAGCCTCTCGACCCTTTCAATGTGGGCCCTTGACAGCCTGAACCTTGAACGATATGGCCTGATCCGGAACTCCGAGCTCCACTCAGGGCTACTAGGTAGGTAGGTATACGCGCCTGCCTCCCGTACTTGGAGGGCATTCCGCAGCCAGTTAAAACCCCGGTTCCATCTCCAAGCCCCCACGAATGTGACCAAGTACAACATCAATCCTACCGAGCCTTCCTTCCCTGACCTTACTTGATCCTGCTTAAGCTCACCACTTACCACATCATGACTATCAACCACATCTTCCTGTGGGCAACCGCCAAAAACCTTCCCGCACTGCGCACCTTCTACGGCAAAGTCCTCGCCCCGGTCGGGTACCAAGAGCTGATCTGCGCGTACAACAGCACGCTCATCGGGTTCGGGAGCGACTACCCTTATTTCTGGATCAAGGCGTTGCCGGAGGGGAAAACCACGATGCCTGTTCACGTGGCTTTTGATGCGCCGAGTTTGTTCTTCCAAACACACTCTGAGGTTGAGGTTGCCCTAGTGCTGATGTGTGCATTCGCATAGATTGGGGGGCTGTTGAGGAGTTTCATCGCCTTGCATTGTGAGTGCTCAAAGTCCACTCTTCCCTGTTTTCCTCGTCTCCAAGCGGGAAGAGAGATGTGTAGTTCACTAATGTCATTACCGTTGTGACAGAGAAAACGGAGCCAAGGATAACGGTGGTCCTGGGGTTCGGGAGGAGATGAGCCGGTATCCCTACTACGCGGCGTTTGCGGTTGACATGGAAGGGAACAATGTGGAAGCTGTTTGTGCGCCGAGGGAGGCTCGGAAGAGATAACTTCGAACAGGCTGCACCTGTTCATATGTAAACTACGTGGTGATAGAATCCAGGCTTAGATCCATAAGTGTTCAAGCCAAGCACATCGTGTCTGCATAGCCCACCCAGTCTAGAGTCTATTTCTATTCGACAATCTTTACTCGCATCCAGCCTCCCCTGACGTCTCCAACCTCTTCAACCCAGCCCACTGCGCAATAAGCGCCTTTATAGTCTCTTGGAACCCCACGAACCGCCACCCAAACACCCTCTCCGTCTCCCTCGTATCAACCCTCCAGCGAATAGCCTCCAAGCTCCCTTCCATCGGAAACAATCCTTCCTCGAGCTCTTTCCCATAGTACGTCCGCACCACCCCCCTAGCACCCTCCTCCCAGTCCACAGCCTCGTCAGCATCAGCGTCCGAAACAAGAATAAACTCGCTATTACCGGGAATCCTCTGCCGATCAACAGCATCGATGTGTGCCCTCGCCACATCACTCACATGCACCGGCACGCCCACGTAAGGAAATGAACTATTCAGATCGTCTGTCAAAACGGGCGCAAGAACGGACCTTCTCGTCCCCTGTAGCACATCATCACTCTTCACGTTTCTGTTTGTGGGCGATGGGATCAGACGGTCATCGGGTCCGATGACCACGCCGGGGAGGAGGTTCACGAAGTCAAAGCTAGGACGATGGGTTTCAATAAAATCACCACTGGCTTTCCGGGCGAGAGCTTTGGAGATCCAGTAGGCTTCCATAGGAGAGGCCGAGGTGCGGTTTAGGGTTGGATTTAGGTCGCTTGCTATGGATGATGGATGATTAGGTTGCATAGACAATAGGAGAGGGGTGGGGACGTGGCAAGCGGAGGTAAAGTACCGGTATAGATTCTCTCGGAGTCTGGATTGAAGTTCCACTCGAAAGGAATGAGGGTCACGCCTATTGTCTACCTTAGCTGGTATCTCGCACCCGGTCAATGGACAATGCAGCATACAAGAAGAAGTAACAACAACCCTCCTCACACTCTCCACTCTTCTCGCGGCGTCCAGAAACACCGTTACCATTGAAACAGCTGGGCGGATAATATCCTCTTCATAATTCTCCGTCTACGCGACCCCCACCCCTCACATCAGCCCCAGCCAACGTCAGATAGACTAATCAGAAAATCAAGGAAACACACCTGAAGAGCCAACGGTGACGCCAGATGAACAATCACTGTCACTCCCGATCCCCTCAGAACATCATAGACGGCATCATCAGCTAGGTAATTCGGGACCACAGCAAACTCCAGTTGTCCTGACCGAACGGATTCAGTGACAGCAGCGCTTTTGGATTGGAGGTCGGAGATGTCGCTGTCTTTTCGAACCAGGGCAAGAATGCTATAGCCGCGGGATAGGGCTGTGAGAAGGGTTTTGAAGCCGATGTAGCCGGTCGCGCCGGTTATCTGGAAGGCAAACAATTCATGTGAGCCTAAGTGGAGGTGGAGGTGGAGACGAGGGTGGGGTTACCAGGAGCTTTTCGCGGAATGTGCTGTGGGGGCCCATGGTTGGTAATGGAGGAAGATACAATTTAAAATGATGCACGGGCAATTAAAATGGCGTTGTGATTGTTTTCTTAAGCCAGCGTATGTATACAAGTACTTATAGTAGATCCAGCCTCAAAAAAATGGGCCCGCGGAGCCCGGAGTTCCAGGTTTGGGTTTGGATCTAGGCTAGTGCCGCTGAGTGGGCCTATATCTGGCTGAAGGGATACAATGCACCCAAGAACTCCGGAATCTCTTGCTTAGATTTGATAACTTAACTTACAAATTATGAGATTACATAATATTTTTTGTAGGCCGCTATTCCAATCCTTTTGATTATCCCTCACTGTATCAAGATCAAAAAATTCATAGTATCTACTATTAACAAGATCACAAAATCTTTTCGATAAAAGAGTATCGATTATCTTCCGCCCCTTAGTGGTGGGCGCTATAGACATAGTCAACACAGTATTATGCTACTAACTCTTTAGGCCTTCTTCCAATATGCAAACACCATTGACAGCATTCTTTGCATCACAATTATTATCAAGTATTATACCTATTATATGTGGTTCCAGTACATACTTTTCATATAAGGTGCTTTTATAAATCAATCACAAGTTGTCTCAGATCAATAAACATTAAGCTTAACTCCTTAAGAGTGAGAATAGGGACGTTATAGCTAGTACTGAAATATCTATTCTATTCTTCATAAGTTCTCTTGCAGGACTGCTTGAGCTACTGGTCACAATAATATCATCCGGCTACGCTCCTTTGAATTACTTTTGATGGTACCTAACAATCCTAATTCACCCATACAGATCACCAGATGATCTGGTAATGGCCGAAGACTCTAGTCTGGGAACTCCATCCAGAATCTGTGAGAAGGCTAACCCCCTATTAATCCTCACACAAGTCCAAACCCGGAACTCCGTATATACCCCCAGCCTCACCTCACGTTGCCTCCACGTCTACCTGAGTTTAGTCTACAAGTCTATAACAGCCGGAGCACGCCACTCGTCGACGCTTGAGTCAAATCATTCTTATCCCTCTTCCCATTTCACCTTTGTATCAGACTTGCGCGGCTAGATCAGAACAATGTACTCGATCCTCCTCCTCGGCGCAACCGGGTATACCGGCACCCTCTGCGCCAGATTTATTGCTGAGCACTACCCGACCAACGTCCACTGGTGCATCAGCGGCCGCTCGGAACAGAAACTCAAGGCGTTGGCGCGGGAATTGAGAGAATTGTATCCGGATAGGGTGCAGCCTGGTACGTATATACATGTCTCCGACGGCGTTGGTAATGCTACACCCCAACCCACAACCTGGGTTGAAAATTGACTTGGTCAAGGGGGCTGACAGAGTTGCATGATTCCTCGACAACTAGAGATTGAACTCGTTGAACTCACCAAAGACAGCCTCGAGCCGGTTGTTCGGAAGGCAGAAGTCGTGGTCAATGGCGTCGGGCCGTTTCATAGGTTCTCCACGCCAATCGTTGAGGCTTGTGCGCGGGGAGGCACGCATTATCTTGATTTCTCGACCGAGACGTTGTGGATTGCGGAGTTGATTGAGAAGTATGAGGATGCTGCGAGGGGGAGCGGGGCTATTGTGAGTTTTCATGCTCCTATGTCAATGAATATATGGGGTGACAGACTGGGTCGAGATTGGGTTTTGTCCCACAGTACGCTGCAGCTAATGGTAATGAGAGCAGATTATACCAGGGATCTCACCGACCGCACCGGCCGATCTCCTTGCGTGGCTGATCACAAAAGAAACGAGGGAGGCGTACTCTAGGGGACCGGGCGAAATCGTTTCGGCTGGGAAGCTTAGGTATGTCCTCCTTTTTCTCCCTTCAGCCAGATAGGATGCCCGTGGCTAGGGTCTGTGGATTCTCGGGGATGCAGGTTAACGTATTTTGATTCTCCGGGCAAAGCATCAAAGCAATGACCCCCGGCTCCCTGACGACCGTTCTCGACAGTTTCACAGCCTGGGGTGCATCCTGGTACCTCTCCGGGAACTCGGGCTCGTGGGTGCTCACTTCCAGGAAGCAACCGCCGCGGCCGGTCCCCAAATCACCCCTTCTGTCCCGAACGCTCGGCTATTGTCTCAACCCCGTCCTAGGGCCGCTGACAACGTCCTTCACGGGCCCCGGGAACGCTGCGATAGTACACCGCAGCGCAGCCCAGAACCCAGAGCTTTATGGCGAGGATTTCCAGTACAAGGAGTACCTTCCTGCTACCGGAATGTGGAATGCGATCTTCATACACTGTGCTACAAAGATTGTTATACTTTTGCTCTGGATACCGCTTGTAAGGGGCTTGCTACGGAAACTCGGGCGTTTGGAAAGGGGTGATTTGCCTGATCCAGAGGTGTTGAGGGGAGCTGAGCGTGCGGAGTACCGGGCTGTAGGTGCGGGTGGGAACTTAGAGGGGACTGAAGAGGGAATTATCGAGGCTTCGTTGCTGCGGGAGGGGTCATTATATGAGTTCACAGCGTTGTTAACCTGTGTTGGGGCAAGGGTCTTGTTAGAGAGGAAGAGCAAGGAGAGCGGAGGAGAGCGGGCTAGGAAGGGCGGCTTCTGTACGCCGAGTTTCCTGGGCATGGAGTATGTGGACGGGCTAAGGGATGCTGGCGTTCAGATTGAAGTGAAGTCTGCGGGTGGCATGGCTAACTAGCCTTACTTGCTGGAGGTAATTGTGGAGAGAGCTTTTGGGCATGTACTCGGTTCGGCTCTATTCACAAGCATTGTTTTGTTTGCCCAGCTCGCACCTGCATACTTTGATTATAGTTGAGAAAAGCTCACTTAATTCATTGTTGTACCTCTATTTTACTTACGGGTAGTATCCACTTTTGAGAGGCGTGGATGACGAACCCCAGCTAGCAGCCCCTACAAGCCCGCTCGTTCGTGCAAACAACACCAACAAACCTTTGCTGTGCGTTCTTACAAGCATCGAACTCGGAATGGGCAAAAAGTTCGAATATTTGAAGACTGTCCCAATGGTACAGACAGCTTAGATATGGCAACCGCCACATCTAACAGTCATGCAGCCAACCCGGTTTCGTTGTTGTGACTCGAGCCTTAGCTTCTTTTTCGGGTTTTGCTGGCCACAAGAGTACCATCGCGACCAGCATCTGGGGCCCCAAGATTTCTACAGGCTGACAAGGCCACTCAGAAATCAAGAATTGGAAGGGGGGTGACGAATCGACCTAAAATAGACCAGGTTAAAAAAAAAGCGGGTCCCGTGAATTGCCGCATCCCCACCCCTGGTGTCCGCCTGATTTCCGTCTTGCCGTTTTAGGGTTTGTATAGTATAGGGAGTACTAGGTGGTTCCTCCGCTCCTTCTGTGCAGACAACAAGTTGATCGGGCCACAACCGGAAATCATACATGCGACTGATGTGAAAGGCGTCTATCTTGCTGTCGCTTGCTAACCTAAGTATCGAATATTTACCCTCCTTACATCCATAAAGTGGAGAGGGGTAACTTTCATTATCCTGATAAAATTGATACTGAAATTGAAGACATCGGTATATCTCATCGAGATTTGTTAATGATTATTCCTACTATTATCTAAGAAAGACACCCCAAATTATCTTCTTCACGAGAACTCCGTATTCAGACACCAGAGTCATGTTGTATGACATCCTGCGCAGAGGCATAGTCCTGCCAACTTCGACAGGTGGCATTCAATTGAGCAGAGTCATATTCAATCTCTGACGCACGTTCAAGGAGTTGCACCGCAAATCCCTCGGATGTATGCCAGGCGATATGGCAATGCATGAGCCAAGCCTATCAAGATTCTTGGTCAGACAAAGAGTAAACCCCAAACTATTGTGGGGGGAAGTTGACTTACGCCTGGGTTATTGGTCTTCATCGCAATGACCACATACCCGCTCGCCGGCAGCATCACCACATCGCGCCGCGGCGGGTTACTCAGCTGCAAGCTGGACTTCATCGAAAGATCGAATTCGCCATAGCCCGACGCTAAAACCCAGAAATCGTGCCCGTGCAGGTGCATCGGATGGTCTTGCGCGAACGGGGAATGGATGACCATGTAGACCCATTTGTCGACCCCAGGGAGATGGATCACGCGTTGCTTCGCGAGCCAGGTGGAATTGCCCTCGGCCACCTGCAGGAGCGTAGGGTACTCCCACTGGGTGTCGAACGAGGTCTTGTTCATCAGCCAGAGCATGGCGTTATCAGTGACCTGGACCTCCACATCCTCGCGGTCGTTGTATGCGTACGCACTCGACGCGTTGAGAGCGAGGTGGGGAACCAGATTGAAGGGGGCCTCGTCCTCACAGGAATCCGTGTAGCTGTAGGCGGTGGTGGTAGGATCCGCGGTCGACCGGTTGCCGTAGCGCACAATGCCCTTGACCAGGTCGGTGGCCTCAGTCTCCGAGCAAGCGGATTGCGGGATGGCCCGCAACCAGAAGTCGCCGCTGGTCAGTTGCTTTCCTGTTACGATAATGTCGTACCGCTGACCCATCCCAATGCTGAGCTGGGTGGTGTTCCAGGGCACAATAGGCACAAAGTCATTGGCAATAACCTCCAGGGTGTGATTGTCGATCATGAAGCGAAAGTGCTGGTCCGCTGCGGCGTTGACAAGGCGCATGCGGTATCGCTTCCCGGCCTCCAAGGTGGTTTCAAAGCGGGAGCCTTGGCTACCCCAGGTGTTGGTTCCATTAATGAGGCCATTTGGCGCGGTGGGGGGGCCCTCAGTGGCAGCTTCTAGGACGAGCTGATCCGCTGTTTTCTGGTCGTAACGGCCATTGAGAAGTGTTATCACTAGGTCTAACAAGCGAGAGGATGCTGGGAGGGGTGGAATTGCATACGTGATACCAATCATTTAGGAAGACGTGGCCGAGATCCACGTCATAGTTAGCTGTCGCTGGACCATTGATCACGATTCCACCAAAGACTCCATCCCAGGCCTGGACATAGAAATGAGAATGATACCAGCCCGTGCCGTACTGAGTGGCCCTCCAGCGATAGGTCATGGACTCGCCAGGAGCAATGGGACACTGTGTGACGCTGGGTACACCGTCCATATTATCGGTCCAGTTTTGACGGATGCCATGCCAGTGAAGCCCGGTGCCATTCGTCTGAAGAGCATTCGTGACATGTACCACTGAATTGGTCTTTGGTCAGCTTGTCCCGAGGACACAAGGCTTAGGGGCCAGAGAGGCGCTTTCACTCACCTACTGTATCACCCCAGTCGGCGATGATCGTTGGACCCGGAAACGTTCCGTTGATCAGTTGAACCGGCATTTCCACCCCGTCCGGAGCAGCGGTGGTGTTCTCAATGTTGAACCAATATTCGCGCAATACGCCGGTGTCAGGCACCTTCTCGTAGTAGTTGGTTGAAATATCAAACCCATCACTCCAGCACCTCCTGTTGTGTGCACTGTGAACGCAGCCGATCTGTCTTGCATACTTCCAAGATAGAGAAGCAGCTGCCGGCACAGCCGGAATCAACACAAGTGACGCAAGAAAAAACGATGTCACACGCATGACTACAACAAGCGCTGCATCCAAAGCAGACCTTCTGACTTCGAGACTAAAAGGTTGTTAAGGACTCAAAAGGAATGGAATATATGGTTAACGAATGAATATGAAAAGAATGATATAATGAGCGGATGGTAAACAAAGGATTGAAGCCTCCAGGCCTTCCTTTTATCTTCTGCATATTTTCAGATGTGCACTGGCGTGACTGTGATGGCATACTGTGCATGGGAGATGGAAGGGTAAATTCCACTAGATTCCAAATCTTCTTACTGTGGATTTTAAATCCACTATCCTTTGCGTATGCACTCACAATGAGGGAGCTGGAGTTGATCCCGCGATCGGCAGCCAGACCATCGGAACATAGGCTACGCTAGAAGCGACTAATGATTCTATGACGCGGCTTACTACGCAATACTTGCTGTGGCAGTTCACCTAGAACGTGCGTCGCAAGGCATTAGTGGCCCACTTGGCGATGGTTTCCGAATTCCGATATCTTTAGAGTCAACCTTGAATCAAGCTTTCCCGAGTCGAGGTCGGATCTGATGTTACGTACTCCCCTGAAATACCGGACAACGCAGTCCAATAGGAACTTGGCCGTAGTGACCTTGGCCGCCCACTGCACACTACCTGGTACCTAGTAGGTATTCTTTTTAGAAAAAATTCATCAACCAAACAAGGCGTTAGTTTAAGTAGGTAGGTACGTTAGCAGGAGGCCCGGATCGATCAGCGGTTGGTGGGGTGCAATATCGATCACAATTGTGTTCACAACACTAGCAGCATCACTCCGAGCCGCTTAACACAACAGCAACGTTCACCTCCCCCTACGATTTTGAAGTTTTGCTTGCTGGAAATCACTAGAGGAGGAACTGTTCCGCTCGGATGCTTATACTCTATAAATCCTTGCATTCTTTCGCTCGAAGCGCTGTCTTTTCTTTTTTTTTTGTTTTTTCTTTTTTTTTTTTTTCGAAACTCACATCAACGTCTAATTTGCTCCAGCGTTCCTCACATTTGCAGAATGCGCATTTTCACACTTCTATCCCACCTGCTACTTGAGATCAACCTGGCGTCGGCATTGAATAAGCACGATCTCAGGCACGTCAAGCGTGGCGGGAAGACCGATGCCACTCTCTACGCATACGGCGCCGACTCCGCGGGCTGGCCCATTGCCTACGGCTTAGATGACGGTTCGTCCTCTGCCTTTTGCGAAATTTGCGGCAAGATACTGATTTGTTTGTTTGAGCCAGGCCTCTTGTATATCGCTGAAGATCCCGACAACAGTGAAGCCAACCTGACCCCCTTGACCTGGGACCTGGCATCGATCACCGACGAGTGCTGGATTGCCAATGCCACCTTTATCAACGGAAAGCGTGCTGGATGCATGTACATCATGGACGAGAGAGAATACGCTGTTGGGATTCTACCCCAAACCCGCGTTGCCTATGTCAACGGCACGGTCACAGGCTTCGGATTGTTCGCCTCGCAGCTAGTGTATAACAACAACACTCTTCTCCAGGCCCAATTCTGGGCTCGTGCGACCAACTTCACCGACACGTATGGGTTGACCTGGACGCTCGACGATGGGGAGCCGAGCGGGGAGTTTCCTGTCGTGGTCAAGGCCTCAACAACCTCGACATGAGCATTCATTCATCCACAAACGGACATCGGTGACATCTCTGGGTATTGAGACCATTCTAGATCATCCTACCAGCTATCCTGTCTCCCAGCTAAGGTCAACCACTTCTTCATCAGTCCAACAAAAGCGAATGCTCCAGTCGTTACCTGCACCCCAGTCCTGTCTATCAGCATCGGAATAATTAGCACTCTTTCCCGTATTCTGGATAACTTCATGCGCGTTAGAGCCCCAACAGTCTATCCTAATGCACTATATGCTGTTATACAGACGCATCTAAGCTCACACTCCCTTCAAATCGTTCAGAAGATTGGCAGACCGTATCTCTTATAGTGGACTAGACTCGCAGAAGCCAATAACTGAAGGGCGGAATAATGTTAAAGATAGTAGTAGACGTGAAGCTTCGGGTGTGAGCCGACTGCGATGGTGTTGCGGATTAATTTCAGAATCATTGTGTGTCGTAACAGGGCTTTGCTAGGCACGGGTCCAGATGCTGAGGACCAGGCCAAGCGGTCGCTGCCCGGTGTTTCAGGTCACTTCCAAACCTTGATACCATCTTATTTTGCCGGTGGAGTACTTTGCTGGCGAGCGCAGGATCTCTAAGAACGCAGGCGATGAGGACCAGAATGTCGAGGTATCTAAAATTGGTGATAGCGGAGGTAACAACTTGAGCAATGCGCACTCGGGGTTGGCTTGTCACCTGCATTGACCATATAAAGAGTCACTGAACGATAGACTGCGCGCCGCTCCACTGGTAGATTTCTTCTTTCTCTTCTTTCTCTTTTTCTTCTTCTTCTTCTTCTTCTTCTTCTTCTTCTTCTTCTTCTTCTTGTATGATATGATACATGATTCTGGAAAGCCATTCAGACCCCTGGGACGTGGACAAGGCGGCCCCAGACTTGGATAGACCAAGGATCGGGGCTGAATATATGAGATTGGCTCCGGAATGGTGGCTTTGATTGGGGGGTAGAGCGGTTGATGAAATCCATGATAGTGTATGAGGATGCGAGACGCGGAATTGATCATAGACAAAAGTGTCAAGGTGGGTTTGAGGAACGTTCTCCAATTCCAATCAATTGCTCAGATCTGGGGGGTAACATTGGTACAAGACGTTTGATCATTTTCTTCACCATGCCTCGGAGAGAATGCCAAACCAAATATTAGCAAGAAGTTCCGACTAGGGGACGGCACAAGCTACCATACCTGTTGGTATGAATCCCTTTCCGGAAACCTTTTCCTGAAGCGTCGAGACGACATAGTCTCCGACACATCCAGTGACCTTCTCGACCTCAGTATCCTCGTTGCATGCCTATTCTCAGCTCGCCAGGTGATCAGCCAAGGACGGACGGTGGCAATTGATCTGAGGCTATCTTGGGTCGATAAGGCCCTGATGGTCATGCGTGGCTTTCTGGCTGCAAGCTGTTAAGATTGTGCTCGAAAGAGAGACGTGTGGAGTCTTATCATATTGACACCAGACATCCCGAGGTCTAAGTCAATCTACTTGTCTAGGGGAGAAGAGTAGTCGAGAAGGAGGACATATGGAGGAAGGCGAGGGATCCAGAAACCGAACATGGAAGCTTTATTGTAGGTGAATGCAGCCATTTGGTCAATGAATCCCAACAGAATCAACTGCCCTCTACAGTTAATTTATCCACGGAACAGAGCTTGACCATCTTTCGTCCCCCCTTCACTACCTCTCATCTCGCGATAGCCCTCATTCCATGAGTCCACACCCGCACCTCCTTCCCAATACCCACACTGCACCCTCACCAGCCACACCCACGGTCCCAGTCATATCCCAACCTCTCAATCTCCACAACCTCGGCGCACAGACCCCTTTCCTCACATCAAACGATCTATATAAAACTCAAATAGTGAGGCAACCCACCCCCACAATTCATGAGCAGACATTCCTACCTAACCATCCCATCGCCCCCAGTAAAGCACTATTAGCACCGGACTCCAAACCATCTAGCCTCACGCCTTAGCTTTGTTGGCATTCCACCCAATTGCAGTCCCAAGATTACCACCACGCACTTTCGGCTAGGGATGGAGACGGTATAGAGGCATGACAGCTCAGTCGGAGTGGATCCCGGGAACTGGGTCCTCGGTTCGGGAAAGATCCACTCTGTTGGGCACGTACCACCCAAGGTGCCAAGTCGCCTCCGGAGGCGGGTTCTAGACTTGAACTTCGCTTGTGTTCATATGTCGAAAGATTCAAGTTTGTATGTGTTTAGTTGGCGGGTAGGTGGAGACTCGACGCAAGCTGGACAGTCCGATGTCGAAACTCGGGCGGGGGCGATGGCCGGTCCTGTCGAGTTTTGGTCTATGTTTAGCAACCATGACTTGCGATTGAGTTCGCGAAAACACTGACCACGCCTTGCTTGGCGGGGAGCATGGTCTTGATAGCATCATCGCAGATTCTGGTCATCGTGCTGTTGTTGCTGTCGTCTTGTCTTGTCGCTGAAATGCAACCACTTACCGACACCCGGCATGCCTCTACCAAAAACAAACAAACAAGGTTTCCTCAACCTTGACAGCATGCATGAGACATTAAACTAGGTTAGCTGGTTGCAACGGAGCGGTATGATTTCTCCCTGGGCATGCATTCCTGCATTTTCTCGCACTTTACACTGGTTGGTATCTGCAAAGCCCCGGTGTCTCGAGTCTCGCTCCGGGATCACAGATTCGGATATCCCAAGTCCCAGTCACGGCTTGCGGGATTTGCTACCCGGGCAAGGCGAAGTAAATTCTCCGATCTTGACATCGGTGAGGCCTAGCTTCTTTCCATTTTGGAAGAGATGGTGGTTCTCGGACAGGGATATGTTGTTGGTTTCGGAGAATTGATGCCCTCTGTTTCATGCCCCGTTGAAGAAAAACGGTGGGCAAGAGAAGAGGTAAGGGCGGATGGTCTGGCCAAGCGACCGAAGTACGTGTTGCTTTGGTTGGGTCGTCTCGAGCGGAGGTGATAATCTTCAGTTAGCTGGTCAGAGCTATACTTAGACGCCACTTGAGCGGATTGTGTTTTCTGAAGAGGCTCCATCTGACATACGTATACCTATCTATACGTAGGATGAGGTCCAACGTCCTTGTCTCGAGCCACTAAGAGGACAGGGTATAGGGAGCCTCGACTATACGCTAAGCCTAAAGCAGAAGACCAATCGTCGGCGGGCATCAGACATTTTATCAATTGGCGAATTATCTACGAGCCTTAATTCATACTGCATACATAACTGGACACGTGGAACCACCAATCACGACATAAGAAATTCAATTTCTGATCTAGAATCCCTGTTTGGGAACATTGAAAGGAGGGGACGGTTTCCTTAAGGGAAATCCGAAGTCAGAGAAAAAAAAAGCCAAAGGAAAGGCGCGGCCTGCAGGTCAGCTGCAGCCATCGTGCTCTAGACTAAGCACACAAATCCTGCGTCCGAGACGGATGAGTCACTGCTTGCATGCAGTAAGTTACAGTACATCTTGGCTGCAGCCAGAAAACCAATGTTGGGAATGCCCCCGACCTGGAGTGGGCGTCTTCCGCTTTCCCCCCGGTGTAGACAGCATGAAGCAGGGTCGCACGACAGATTTCTCTCTCTCTCTCTTCGTCTCTCTTCTCCTCTTTGTTTGTTCTCTCCTCTGTTTTCTGACTCTTTTCGTTGATTTTGTCTGTTTTTTTGTGGTTCTTGGTTTTGAGATGTCGGAATGAACCGAAGAATGCAAAACATGAGACATAGGAAGGTATCGTTGCGAGTAGTCGCAGAAAAGAGAAATGCGAAAACAAAGTAATCGAACTCCTCTTCATATCTCCAGCCGCATGCAGTGCACTGCAGCAGACGCGTAATTGCAGCAGTAGCTAAGCGATTTCTCCATGACCAAATCCAATGCGATCGGGCAGATATGGGAAGGCTGGGGGCCGCGGCGGGTCTGATGAAAAGCCCTTTGCCAGCGGACAAGGTTCATATGGGGGGGGCAGCGTGGTAACAGCATCTTGGCTGCATCAAAGCCAGCAGACAGGTATCCAGTGTCGTGCGTGAGAGAAGACCGTAATGACTAGTTCCAAACCAGTGCATTGCGCTCATTCAACGGTGGTAGTCGGTCGGCCGGTAGATGCGGGACGATTCCTTGACGCGCTCATACCGCTCGGCCGCATCAGCCTCGTACAGCGACCCTCGGCTGGGCGAGCTGCGAGGGGATGTGTAGATGATGGTCCGGTGACGCTTCATGGTTCGTGGCTCACGCTCGATGATGGCCTGCGAAGGGTAAAGGTATTCCTGGGTGGTAGTGCGTCGAGGGGGCACGGGATAAGTGGCGTCGTAGCTGATGACTGGGGGCGCAGAGGCGCGAACGCCGGCGGCTGACTTCTTCTCCACGCGCAGGCCGTCCTCGATGGCCAACAGTAGCTGACGGGCAGCGGCGTACTTGTAAGGCACCTTGACCAGTGTGGATCGGCTGCGCTCTTGGTCGACGACCGAGTATGTCTTTCCGTTCTTGCTGCGCAGGTATTCGGCCACGTCGCGGGCATACTGGTGGCCGCGCTTGCAAAGGGACCGGTCCTCCTCACGAGTCTGAAGGGGGTTGGCACAACGGGAGCAGTGACCGGCGTGGCTCTCGAAGCTGTTGAGGACATATGTCTCGTCGTCCTCCAGCTCCCGCACGAGCACGACGGGCTCGGCGGCTTGCTCGACCTGGTGAGGCATGCTTGCGGTTCGACGGAGACGAGGCTTCGATCGCAGGGGAACAGACTCCCTTATGGAGGTGTAGGTAGGGGGCCAGAGGAATCGAGTAGACTTGAAAGGCGACAGTGTGACGGATGGATCAAGTTGAGCCCTGGGTGAGCACGTGGTATGCGGTATGTGTAGCAGTGATGGATTCGAATGAATAGAATCGCAAACAAAGTGAGCTTGCGAGTGGCTATATAGCTGGTAGTAGATATGAGTTGATGGGCTGAATGCAGATGTATGAAGTTGAAATTGAGAAGTAGAGGGGGGAAGCAGAGGAGGTTATATAGTTGGACATGACGAGAGTGGAAGGCATCCATGAAAGAGAGTAAAATGAGCTGCAGGAGGGATTCATGACGGATCTGGTCACAGGTGGAGACGCTAAGGGGGAATCAGTCATAGTCTAAAATCAAAAAGAATAAAAATAATAACTGTGGGAAAGGAGGTGTGGCAGCTGATGGCAGAAGTTTCCTAGAGAAAGTGCTGCCTGGTGACCGTAAGGCTGTCTCTTCTGTGTGTGTGTGTCTCTACTGTGGCTGGTGCAGTGGAGTGGTGAAGGCAGTGCATTTCCAGGTTCAAATCTCCACTTCCCGGTTGGAAACGCGGTGTTCACAACCAGATCGCCTTTTGGATGGAATTACTGTAAGCTGATTGGTGAGAGGGACCGCAACAGTCGGTCAAGTTGGGATCATTCCCCTTCCCTGGCTGTCCTCATCTGACACTCTGACTGCACCGGGTGGACACACTAGGAGAGAAATAGGGTTAGTCCATCCCTAATGCCACGGACTAGCGGTCTCCCCCCGTCCACTTTGCTTATCGACAGGGTCTTAGTCCCAGAGTGCCTCTATACCTCTTCGAGGTGTCGGGGAAGAACTGAGTTCAATGGAGAGAGTCATCATCATCATCATCATCATGTCGGAGTCACTGAAGGATGGCTGGTGCTGTGGCTTGTAGCCTCGTGTTTCCTGCGCCGCAATCCTCGCAATCCTCGCAATCCTCTAACTGCCACCTCGTCATCTTTCTTCTTTCCTCAACAACCTTCCCAACACGAGGCCTTTTGATGCTCAGAATCTCGCTGTTTCGCTGATGACGCCATATTTCCACAAGAAAAGAGCTACAGCGGACTGTGGCTTGACTTCCCATGATTTGAGAAATTCCCTGTCTGTGTGTGCCCGGCGAGCTCTCCCCGCTTCATGGCTCAACCACACCCGTCCCCACGCTCATTTGCTATGCAGCCGCTGTCAACAATCGCGGAGCGGTACTCAAAACACATAGAATCCATCAGTTCCAAACTGTCGGGTCTGTCTACAATTATCGCATACCCTATCAATCTCTCATGCTGAATTCTATCATTCTAAGAATACCTACAACAAACGCTCGCAAGTCCAGTACTAGGTGAAAACCGCAGAGAGGGGGGGGGGTCCGGGCCGCCAACCCTCCGCTATACGAGCGACCTGTCCATCGTTCGCAACTTCCATGTGCTTAGGGGGGTTAACCGTCTCAGCCCCATCACCCTCCACCCAACCCTTCTTTTCCCCTTACACTAGTCCCGATCATGTCTGGCTTCTTCGCCCAGGGCCCAGAAACTCCTTCCTGAACTCAGCCTCCGTCAAAGCGACAACAACAACTACTGGTCATTATGGATGGTTTCTCCTCTCCCCTTTTTTCTAACCCAATCAATTCCATCCATATGGCTCTACGTGCCATGGAACTTGCGTGCAATCCCTGCTACCACGAATTTTGGATCGCGAGATTTATGCGACCTGCACGTTTTACCCATCTGCGAGATGTTCCCTGCCTTCGATGGGGATAGTGGGCTACCCGAGAGTAGTAGCAGGGAACCTGGTTTCAAGTACCGCGCGGCATGACCCTTGAGTGCGTCTCGTATCCTATCGTGGTGGCCTTGGGTCTTATTTGGAAATGCCTCGCCACCGGGGCTGCTTTTCTTGTCTGAGACTCAAAGTCATCATCAACTTGCGCGGTCCTCACTCGCATATCCTTACACAATGCAAAACCACCTGCCTACAGGCATTACCACTCCTAGTCAGGAGTCAGCTGTCGACCTATGCTTTATCGGATGCTGCCTTGGGGGTTTCTTTGCGAGAAGCCGCCGCATGCGAACGATCCGATGATCGCATGGGCGCGTGCTCATGCTGGACCGACTACCCCAAGGCAGAATGGTGAATAGGCAAATCAAGTTGAATGATGACTACTATGGTCGCCACAGAAGCGCACACCCAACCACTGGTATACTCACCAATCCCCGTCACAGGAATATATATCAGCAGTTGGAGATACCAGCGCAAACAACTCTCGTTTTATTCACTCGGCCGCCTGCTCATGACATTCGACAGACCTGCCTTGCACCAGGGAATCAGGCACCAGAAACTCTCTTTCCTCACAGCCAAACACCATCGTCGATCGTGCTCCCTGCGAGCCGAAGAGTTGACCCCCAGGACGCCAGATTTATTGCACATATGATTGGTAGGCAAGGGTAGCCTTCAACAACAACAGCCCGGCTAGCTCAATCGGCAGAGCGTGAGACTCTTAATCTCAAGGTTGCGGGTTCAACCCCCGCGTTCGGCTATAGAATCCGATTCTTTCTTCCTTCACCCCAGCCGGGCTAGCTCAATCGGCAGAGCGTGAGACTCTTAATCTCAAGGTTGCGGGTTCAACCCCCGCGTTGGGCTTTATCTTTTGCTTTTTTGACCTTCGCACATTGCCATTGTACTGCGGCTTGCGCGAAGAATTCTTTTTTTCCGTGTGTGGTTCGCCGACGGCGCGGAAGCTCCACCCGGGATCCACTTTGTTTTCGATCATGGCATGCGAATGGCCGCTCTCAAGTGTAGTCAGGGTACGGAGTAGTACGTAGACGAAACGGTTGCTCAATAAATACAGCCTGTCGTATGTCTACCTTATACGCCGAATACCATGTGGGATAATGAAGCACTTTATACTCTACTCTTGTACATCGTGGCTCAGGCCTGCGATATTTCGCCCGAGCCGTACCTGCTTTAGCTGCGCTGCACGCCCGCCGGCGACGGGCCCTAGCCACCTAATCCCATGCCTTAGTGTTTTCAGCTATTTTGTCAGACTGCATGCGACCTGTCGGCCCGGTTCCATGGGCTATTGGATGCTTGGTGGGACATGCGGCCTACATTCACCCAGCGGAACGAAAAATGTCATGCGTGGACAGATGGACAGATGTAATATTTTGTCTCCGATCCAGAAGTCAAGATCGAGCGGCCCAGGATGTCCAGACCATGTAACGTGCATCCGGCAACTACGAGGAACCAGAGTACATAACGGTCGACATTTGCCGCAGCAGATCAGAATATCACAGTCCGGCACAAACCAACCCATCTCGAATTCCATATTCCCAAATACAGAGGGAAAACCCCCATCGCATATCCCTCGTGTGAAAGCCAGTTGTAACACGTCTCCTCCTTTTCGCAAGGCTCAACGCCAGAATCCCATGCACGTGGTCATCTCGAAAGCCCTTTACCCTTTGATCCTGTCTCTCTCTTAGAGCAGAGGCTTCAATGCCCAAATGCCCAGCAAGAATACGGGACGAAAGCCATGGAGGATGATTTAGCCTCGGTTCTGCACATGAGCGCTCGGTTGTCAGTGTATATATCTTCACGAGCTCTGAACTGCAAACTGACAGATGACATACTATTCCTTGGCCTTGCATTTATGGTTCACACACACACCGCATCTGCCGCGGCAGCGGTCGTTGTTGACGCAGTTCCGGTTACAGTAGTTGGTTCCGGGATCCAGGACCTGGTCAGCGAGGTCATTGGTGGGGTTCATGACGGCTGCGTGAACGAGGGCAGCGAGGAGGATGAAGAGGGTGAAGTTGCAGAGGTTCATTTCTGTTGTACGCTGTGGATTGAGGTTTGTTTCTTGTCTATGGAGAGATTGGTGTGATAGACGAGCTTGTTTAAAGGTAGAAATTTGTAGGGTTGGTAGAAGGTTGGAAAGATCTCGATTTCTGGGGCAGGTGAGGGTGATGTTTAGATGGTGTTGTTGAGAAACACAGGAATATGGCACCTCAAGCTCCCTTCTACACCTCTGGGAGATCTATTCACCTGTTTGGTGATCACAAGTACAAAATCATTCACCATAAACACACCGGCAGTGTTAGTAGTTGCGCCAGCTGTTGACACTGCAAGAGACATCACCATGGAGACTATCTACTCACTCCGGTATATCGCGATGTGAAAAGCTTGGGGGTCTCATCTCAAGCACTGGATTGGTGTACTTTACGTCGGGAAATAGTCTCACAGTCTTGGGGTAGCAGGCTAGACATATATTCATCTATTCGGAACCTCACGCAATGTACCCAACCTTGGTGAGACCCCTGCTAGACTATCAACAGGTACATAATCTATTGGAACTGTCTACGATCTAGAGCAGGCGTAGATTCAAGCACAATGATTAGAGATCCCCGGAGAGGACAACAGCTGGTGTTTCATTGCCTCCAAAGGTCCGCCTCGGCAACGGGGTTCAAGGTTGGGATAAATGGTTCCTTTCCGTGGACGCCCAGTACCACATCTCCGCTTGTTTCCTCCCAGGCTGGGGACAGATAGCTTGATTGCAACAACATATTGAACTTCATGCGGCTGAGAATCAACTTCAGTCTTGAACCGCAACGCTCGTGCGGGGTAAATTCGGGGGACCGCAGCTGCTGTGCAACCTTCTATGCAACCTTACTCCTTAGCTGTTGAAGAGCTTATGTATGCCAAAAACACTGCTTTTGACCAATCAGCTCGCATGGCTTAGATGGTAAAGCGCAGCACTAGTAATGCTGAGATCCTCGGTTCGAGTCCGAGTGTGAGCAACTGATCTTCCTTTTTGTCTTTTTCTCAGCTCTTTAGCCTGCAGTGATTTGGCTTCTCGCTGGTTGCCATCCTTGATTTTCTCCATTCCAATCATCTTCACTTTGTGTATAAGACTAACCAGAGCCAACATTTTGCCTTCTCCTCGCTCCTTTGTACCTGTACTTTCATTCTTCCCCAGCCGAGAAGCAGATAGCCGAGCACCCAAGTCAATTGACGCAGAACTGCCGAGCTGCTGGAAAAGGCAGGGTTTCGCGGCCAGCTCCGCCGCTCCACCGGAGCTTATCGGCTATGAGTCCATGACGCTACAGGGAGCCTGCGATTGGAGACCCGTTGGGGTAAGCAATGCAACATGAAGTGGCTTATCGACCCTTTCCCCGCTTGCTTCTACTCGGCAATCGTCCTGAACGCTGGTTCGCATGGACTGCCGATCCTTGACAATCCGAATCTCACCTGGAATGTTGACGCTGTCGTGTTCAACTCGCTGTCTCACCTGCCCCCTAGCCAGCCCCTCTATATAACCAGCAGTGGTAGCTAATAATGCAGATTCTAGGTGAGCACCCACCACATACTACAGAACCACTGCATCATCCCCCGCCCTCATCCGCCGAACTGTACCATTATCAACACCGCACCATACCTATCTAACACCCTTCTCCGCACCAGCATCAGCACCATCCACCATGAAGGACATTATCGCGAAATACCGCCCGGACCTCAAGCCCTTCGAGGAGATCTACCGCCACCTCCACCAGAACCCCGAACTCTCCGGCCAGGAGCAGGAGACCGCCGCCACCGCGGCGGAGCACCTCCGGAGTCTGGGGTTTGAGGTGCACACGAACCTCGGCGGCCACGGGGTGGCCGGCGTGCTCCGCAACGGCGAGGGCCCGACGGTGCTCGTGCGCGCTGACATGGACGCCCTGCCCGTGGAGGAGAAGACGGGCCTCCCCTACGCCAGCACGAAGACGGCCACGGACACGGAGGGCGTGACGCGACCCGTCATGCACGCCTGCGGGCACGACACGCACGTCGCCAGCCTGATGGCCAGCGCCGTGCTCCTGCACGCCGCGCGCGCCCACTGGGCCGGGACGCTGGTGTGCATCTTCCAGCCGGCCGAGGAGCAGCTGGACGGGGCGCGCGCCATGCTGGCGGACGGCCTGTACGACAAGATCCCCGCGCCCGAGGTGGTGCTCGCGCAGCATGTCATGCGCATGCGGACCGGCACCGTCAGCGTGCGCGCCGGCCGCTTCCTGACCGCCGCCGACGCCTTCGACGTCCGCATCTACGGCCGCGGCGGCCACGGCTCCGCGCCCCATACCTGCATCGACCCCATCGTCGCCGGCGCCGCCGTCGTCACCAAGCTGCAGAGCATCGTCAGCCGCGAGGTCACCCCCGGCGAGATGGCCGTCGTCACCTGCGGCAGCATCCAGGCCGGCCATGCCCACAACATCATCCCGGATTACTGTGATCTCAAGCTGAATGTGCGCACGTACGATGCGGGCATCCGCAAGCGCGTGGTCGAGTCGATTCGCAGGATCGTCGAGGCCGAGTGTGAGGCCGCCGGCTGTGTGCAGAAACCGTTGGTCAAGCTTACGTATTCCACCCCGGCGACGATTAATGATGGGAAGTTGGTCGAGACGCTGAAGGGTTCGTTTGGGGAGTACTTTGAGGATGGGCTGGTGGAGTCCGAGCCTGCGGCGGCGAGTGAGGATTTCTCCTTGCTGGCCACGGCGGTGGGCGCGCCGTATGTGATGTGGACGTTTGGCGGCGTCGATGCCGAGACCTGGGATGATGCCGTCAAGAGGGATGTCGTGCGCGAGCTGCCGAGTAACCACTCGCCGTTCTTCGCCCCAGTCATCGAACCTACGCTGCAGACCGCGGTGGATGCCATGGCCGTGGCGGCGATGACCTTCTTGCAACGGAAGAAGTGATTGGCATTCTTCTTCGTGTTGTTTGTTTGCGAGGGGTGTGACTGATTGATTAAACCCCTCGTGGTATCATAATCCACGTACTGTACATAGAGAACCCAAAAGCGTTGCATGGCGAATCTGTAACTCTCCATCATTCATCCATCCCATCCCATTTCATGCTCGACTCGATACATGCACCACCACCTTCCCGCGCGCCCGCTCCGAGCGCAACTTCTCGAAAGCCTTGGGTGCATCCTCAAACTCATAGACACTATCCAGCACGACCTTCACCTTTCCATCCCTGATCAGCTCACCCACTCTCACCAGATCCTCCTTCTTAGGCTTCCAGAAGATAGGCAAGTACCGCCGCTTCCCGCCACCCAAGAAGCTCGGCCGCAGCAGGCGCGTCGCGAAGGTCGGGAAGCGCGTCGCGCCGACCTGCGCAAACACCTTGCCCGGCTTCAAGAACGCATGGCACTCGTTGTACATCTCCGCCGGCAGGCCGATATGATCGACGACGTGGTCGAACACCGGGCCCTTGGCCTTCAGAACGGCCACCACATCCTCCGCGGTATAGTCCAGCACCTCGTCCGCGCCCAGCTCCTGGCAGAACTGCACGTTCTTGGTCGAGCACGTCGTCGTCACGGTGCACCCCAGCGCCTTGGCGATCTGGATGGCGTAGATCCCGCAGCCGCCGGACCCGGCGTTGATGAAGACGTTGGCTCCGGTGTCCGGGGCGATGAAGGGCGCGATCGACTGCCACGCCGTCATGCCCGCGACGCCGACGGTCGCGGCGTGGTCGACCTCGACCCCCGCGGGCACCGGGTGGAGGTTCTCTTCTCGGGCGATGAGGTATTCGGCCAGCGAGCCGAATTGGGTGGGCAGGTCGAGCGTGCCGTAGACGACTTGGCCGGGCGTGAATGGGGAGGTGTCATCGGCGGTGGCGACGACTTCGCCGGCGAAGTCGAGGCCCGGGCTGGCGGGCTTGCGGATCAGGGCGGTCGTCACGATCGGCATGGCGGGCACTTTGTAGTCGGCGGGATTGAGGGCGGCGGTCAGCACGCGGATGAGGACTTGCGACGGTTTGAGCGGCCCCGGAGGCGCGCGCGCGGAGGGCTCTAGGGTGAGGTTGGCTTCGAGGGTCGGGTTGGTGTGGCTGTAGAGCCAGGCTCGCATTGTGGTTGGGAAGGGGGTCGTTGCTGTTGTTGTCGTCATCTTGGGTGGGTGTGTCGTGTACAGGTCCGTGAAGTGGTAGTCTGCTACTGGTGTGGGTTTGGGAGGGAGGTTGAAGTGAAAGTGGCAGAGGGAGTGGCTGGAAGCGGAATGTTTTTGGTGGTTGGTTTTGTGGTCGGAGTTGGTTGCGATAAGATAGCGTGCTACCGTACGGCAGCTGGGAGGAGATTCCGCTAATGGAGACGTCATGGCGGCTGTTCTCGACTGGGTACTCTGCAAAATACTCTTCTCGCATCATTTGCAGCTATTGTATGCTTGTAATGTGAAATGGGCATCTAATTGTATACACTGGCACTGCTCAAACCAGGTTGGTCAGGTGATTCAAGCGATTGAGCCAAATCGGCTGGCGGTGAGGATGACTTGAGCAACTTACAGTCCAGCTGTTTTGCTACTTGTCCAATAACCTCCTGCTGTTAGACCTCTAAGTATGACAACACAGAACCCAACCTCAAGCCACCCAGCAGTCGAGGCCCAGCAGAACTCAGCTGAAGCTATAGCGGTCACCGACTAAGTCTCAAGCTATTCGTCAGACGCAGCAAAGGGGTCCTTATCAAAGCTTGGCTGCAAAAGTGGGCCAATGGAGCAGCTACTGGAGCGCACTCGTGTCGGCGTCATACAGATCATCTTTCTTTCCCTCTGCACCCCTCAAACGAACAGACCACCACCCTCGGTCGCAAATGGCCTCCAGCGACTGTGAATACTACATTTTCGTGTTGCCCTGCCTGACTGTTTGCGACCGACTCTTGCCTGAAGGAGCGTTTCGACGACTGCCATCGAGCCAACGCAGCTTCCGCAACGGGACTAGTGTGACTGACGGTGGCCGGTGATGACATCATTGAGTCCGACCTCGGCTGGGCCTGAGGAATCCATCAATCAAAGGGGATGGAGACACACCAGACAATCAATGGACGATGGGGGTGATGATGATGATGATGCACTGCGTTGTTGTTCCTCGCAGCACAGCCATTCATTCCCTCCCAAAAGGGTCCAGCCCTTGTCGTTCCCCCTCAGACATTGGTCGACTGATCCATTAAAATTGTATCGATCGGTTCCTGGCCCACGCCGTTCGTCTCCCTGTGTTTCCGCTGCTTGCTATCCCTCCCTCCCTTTTGGTTTATTTGCGCTGCCACCCCCTCTCCTCCTGAAGTCTTCTTCCATTCAACCCGTTTGTATAATACCTCGCTCTCTTCCTCTCCGCTCTTCAAGGCTTCATGACCTTCCGTGAGGCTTCTTCCTTCCTCACCTAGCGCAGTAGAATCATGCCCCTGAATACCTTCGCATTGAGTCTGGCCCTCACTCCGACCGTCCTCCAGACCCTGATCTCTCATGTGGGTCATTCATCCTTCCCATCCGCTGCCAACAGTGGCTCCATCACGTTTCACCTTTCGTTGATGCCTCCCTTGCCCGAACTGACCAACTGACTCCCGTTTCACATGCCATCAGTACCTCCACCGCAAATCTCTCCACCACAAACCCAACGTCCACATCTCCTACGATGAAAGCATCCGCATCTTACGCGAATTCCTCATCTACGCCTCCAAGCATAGCCTAGAAGACCTCCAAACCTTCACCTGCCAGCGGGTGCCCGCGCCGCATTGGGTGAAGCTCGAGACCGTGACCGTGCCGGAGGACTGTCTCCTCGGCGCAGCCGATGCGATCAACAAGCAGCTCGGCCCGAAGGGCATCGCCCGCGTGGGCGGGAAAGAATGGTGGCAGTGGCGCGGCCCCGCGGAGGACTTGAAGGCGGAATGGATCGAGATGAAGGAGGACTACAACGAGCGGAAGCGCACCGATCGCGACCATCCCAGCCAGAAGCGCATCATGTTGTACATCCATGGCGGGGCGTACTTCTTCGGCAGCTTGGATACACATCGGTATCAGATGCAGCGCCATGCGCGGAAGTTGAAGGGGAGGGTGTTTGCACGGTAAGCCTTTTGTATATTCGATTAATCCAAGCTTCTCCTACTGACTGTGTTCTAGTGAGTCCCCAACCTCATCACAGGTCATAGTGTCCACCTCGCATAGAGCTAATCCCCTTTTCAGCCAAATATCGCCTGGCGCCACAGTTCCCCTTTCCTTGTGGAATGCAGGATTCACTGGCGGCTTACCTGTTCCTGCTGAAGGAGCATAAGCCTGAGGAAATCCTCTTTGCCGGTGACTCTGCTGGAGGAGGGCTGGTTCTCTCGTAAGTTTGAGGTCCGGTCAATCATGCAAGCTGCAACTAATGGTCGAAGTATGCTGGTTCTCCTACGCGACCAAGGGCTTCCTCTGCCGGCGGGGGCAATCTTGATTTCGCCCTGGGTGGACTTGACCCATTCATTCCCTAGCATCGTCAAAGACAATCCCGGGGACTATATCCCTCCGTACGGTTTCATGCACAAGCCGTCCCCGGCGTGGCCGCCCCCTAACGCAGACGAGCTTGGTTCTCTAAAGAAAGCACTTAAAAGGAGCCCGGCGAAGCCCAGCGATGCTGTCCCCGAGCAAAGTAGGCGAGACGAAGAGACGGCAGAAAGGGGATACTCGATGCATAAGAGCAGCTCCTCCGAAGCCGACCGCACTAACTCGGATCGCCAGTCCACCGAAATCCATAACGAGAAGATCAGCATCCCAACTGACGGAGAAACGGTCGAGATCAAGGACCAGATTCACATGTATGCGACCAACGAACTTTTAACCCACCCGCTCGTTTCCCCTATCTTCCAGCCTTCTCTCGGAGGACTACCTCCACTGCTGATTCAAAGCGGTGGCGGGGAGATGCTGAGGGACGAGCAATTCTACGTGGCCCACAAGGCGGCCAACCCGGCCGCATACCCGCCTGGCGATGCGTTTCTCGACGAGCATGACCCCAACCGGGAAACTCTTCACAAGTATCAGGGAACCTACGTTCAACTCCAGGTCTGGGATGACCTCTGCCATGTGGCGCCGACTCTGAGCTTCACTCATCCGGCAAAGTACATGTATCGGGCGATTGCGCAATTTGGTGCTTGGGCTCTTGCATGTGCGCAAGACACGGAGGTCGAGATTGTCGACGACCACGGTGTATCCAGCGACACGGACAGCAGCGAGGACCCAACCAAGAGAGAATCGGAGAACTCTCACACCCCCGTCGACTGCATTGGCAAGGCCGGGGACCCCTTACCCGCGTTCAAGGACCGCATGATCCGGCAGCGAGTGGACAAGAAGGGCAACGTGTACCCCTTGGATCCCCCGTCGGCGTGCTCCGTGCTTCAAATCCCCCCGTCCAAAGTGGGGGTGTTCAACCCCGTGCTCGTGCGGAAGTGGCTGTCAGTAAAGAAGGATTGGGATACCAGATTCGCCAAGGAGAAGCTCCGTGTCCAACGACAGCGCATGAAGGAGCTGGCGTACGGACTCCAGAACTTCCAAGGCGAGCTGCCACCGCCGAGCTCTCTGGCTGCCCGGCGCACTGTTCCGCGCGTGTTGCCATCCAGGACTGGCGGCAAGAGCTACCCGATGACTATGTGGAGCAAGATGGCCAGCAAGCATGACGAGCGCACCGTGGTCAAAGAACAGTTGAAGGGCGACCGGTCCACACGGACGAGCGTCGATGCCGGCCAGGCGGGCGCGTCGATGAAGGCAGAGGCCGCGCAGCAGACGGACGAGAACGCATCCGCCACCCAGCGCGCCGCCGCCGTGACCGGCGCCGCCGTACAGGACTTCTCCACCAAGCCCCAGCCGAATGGCCTGAGCAATGGGGGTGGTTCGACGGGAACGAAGGTTCCCTCCGAGGAAGATGATGATACGCGCGATCAATCAGCGAACTCACATACCAAAGTCCCTTCGCTCGAGAATTTCACTCCCATGCTCGTTCTGCCGGGATACGAGGGGAAAAACTTGGAAGAAGAGAACGCCAGCACCCGCGCGCTCTTCCATGAAGCGGGCGCTATCCCGAACACAGGCGATTCCCACTGGGCTTCACGACTGCGACACCGGGCTTCGTCCAATGCCGGGTCGGGCACCATCCGCAGCGGGCTCACCACCGAGCCGCCGGAGGACACGAGCACAATCGGCGACGAGAAGTCTCTGGCCGTGACGACAACGAATGGGCTCGATGCCGCGAGCACCCGTGCTGTGCTCAATGCCAAGGGAGTGCTGGGCATGGCCAGCGATAACGAATCTGCGTATCGCTCGTTCGAGGCTCTGCCTAGTGAGCTTGGGGACGGTGAGGTAGGCACCCCGGGGCTTGGTCCTGATGGTCACGAGGCAGAGTCGACGCCGCGGCCTGGATTGCCTGACCGGGAGTACTTCAAGACGGCGGAGGAGTACGTTGCGCACTGAGGTTTGATGCCATTGCATTGTACAGGTGATGTCTCCTCTTCATAAGATGTATATAGGCATGGCCAGTTTTCGTTTTTTGGGTTCTTGGGCGGTCTGTTGGTTGTTATACCCAGCTTTACATAGTTGCGCTTTTAGTACTGGTTTCTCTGTTTTTAAAGACGCAGGCATTACGATCAATTAAGAAGAGGACTTGAAGAATCATACTTAATTGCCAGGGTATATATACACACTTCAACCAAAAGAGACCATATAATACACATACACAACCCCCTTTCCCCCTTCCTTTACGTCACCTAGAAAAGTAAATCCTTACCACTGAATCCCAACCTTCCGAGCCACCTCCTCTGCGATCCCCAGGAACGCCGCCCGCCGCTGACTGTCGGGGTTCGCCTCCTCCGCAACGACGGTCGGCACCCCGCGATCCGCATCCTTGCACACGGCCCCATCGAGCGGCACGTCGCCCAGGAACTCGACGCCGAGCCGGCGACACTCCGCGCGCACCCCCCACGCCTCCTCGCTGCCGCGCAGGTGATCGTGGCCGTGGCCGAAGATCTCGGTGCGGGTGCCGCAGCCGGGGCAGCAGAAGTACGCCATGTTGCGCACCATGCCCAGCACGGGCACGTCCATGCGCTGGAACATGCCGATGCCGCGCACGGCATCGCGCAGCGCGATGTCCTGCGGCGTCGTCACGATCACCGCCCCGTCCAGCACGACCTCCTGGTTGATCGTCAGCTGCACGTCCCCCGTGCCCGGCGGCAGGTCCAGGAAGAGCACGTCTAGGGGCCCCCACGACACGCTGTGCAGCAGCTGGTGCATCGCCTTCGTGACCATCAGCCCGCGCCACGAGATCGGGGTGCTGTCCATCGGGATGGGGTCTGTTGCGGAAGGGGAGGTTTGTTGTTGCTGCGCCTGTGGGAGGAGGTAGCCCATCGACATGGATTTGAGGCCGTAGTTTGTGAGTGGGAGGAGGCAGTTATCTATTTTGTGAAGGGTTCGTGGTTAGCGGGTGGGTGGGTTTGGCTTGGGAGTATCAAGGGCGCAAAAAGGAAAACGCAACGCACTCTCATCCAGCCTCGGCTCCCCACTCATATTCAACAGCGTCGGGATCGAAGGCCCGAAGATATCGGTGTCCAGGATTCCGGTGCGGATGCCGCGCCGCGCGAACGCAAGAGCGAGGTTCACTTTTTTTTTTTGCACTCGTATCAGTTCCTTGTTGCCCTGTCATTTACTTTCAAGCGGAGGAGGAAAAGTACCAGCGATCGTAGACTTCCCTACCCCCCCCTTCGCGGACGAAACAGCGATCACCTTCTTCACATCCCGGATCTTGCGCTTCTCGGGCAGCCCGCGGCGGCTGCGGAGGGAGGGCGGAGTGCCGGAGCGTGGGAGGCCCTATAGCATTTCACGACAGATTAGAGACGAATCTTATCCCCAGAAGTACGCAGAGGAAGAATACCAAAGGGTTATCATGCTGCAGCACCCGAAAGGTCGAGAAGAACCTCTTCCCCAACATGATGATGACAGTGGTGGGAACGTTTGTGTCGGCGGTGAGAATTGTTTTGGCTGCATTGACGTGCGATGGAAAGAATACTGCCCGATTTTCACCCATTCACCGCCGGCAAAACCTGCCTTCCATGGCTGCTCCCCTACTTCAAGGGGATAGTTCTCCCGTGACCGCATCCCGAAATTTTGCGGGCAGAACAAGAAAAAAAAAAAAAAGTTGACGCGGAAACAAAAGCAATCAGAAGCGCTTTTTGCTGTCGTTGCTGTACCAGTACCCTTACGTTATGGCTCCCAAGTCACTTGCGCAACAGCTCGCGGAGCTGGAGGATCCTACTCCTAGAGGTTTGTTTTTTTTTTTTTTCTTTTTTTCCTGGGGGGTTTCTGTCTTGTGTGTGGTGTTGACCGACTGACTGACTTTGTCTTTCGCGCCCGAATGCAGATTTCGATCCCGAGGATCTTGATCGCGGGGTTCAGTCGAGTGACGAGGAGGGAGGGAAGGCTGTGGATGCTGATGCGGGTCGAGAGCATTATCAGGCTGTTGGGTAGGTTTATTTTCCCCCATAGGTTTGCTGTGAATTGTCTGAGATGGTCGTGTGTCGTGGTCGCTGGGTCGATTGAGGTCGGCGCTAACTTGTCCCAGCAAGGGAAAGCTTCGCAAACAGGATCCCGTCGCCTTGGGGAAACAGTACGCCGGCTCGAAGGTCAGCAGACAGGCTCTCGAGGCCGACAGCGATGACGATCCGTTCGCGGCGCGGTCTAGCGACGACGAAGACGACGACGAAGACGACGACGAGGAAGAGGAGGAGGATGACGATGAGGAGCTAGGCAGCGACGAGGACGAGGAGGATATCTCCGACGACGAAGAAAGCGAGGAGGAGACTGCCCAACCCGCCAAGCGTGACGGAAAGAAAGCCAAGAAGGAGGTCAGCTTCGACGACATGGATACCGATGAGTCGGATGAGATGGACGGTTTCGAGGACGAGGACGAGGACGAGGACGACGAAGATGAGGATGAGGCTGATTTCCCATCCGACGAGGACGATGAGGACGAGGACGAGGATGACGATTCCGACGCCTCCGACGACGAACCCCGCCGCACCGGGAAGACCGACGACCGCGAGGAGCTCCGCAAACTGATGGCCTCGGACCAAAAGACCATCGCCGCGACCATCTCGCAGGCCGCCAAAGCCGACGCCGCCAAGGGTAAGGCCGTGAAGCAGCAGCGCGCCACCTTCGACGCCCTCCTCAACACCCGCATCAAGCTCCAGAAGGGTCTTACCGCCATCAACCAGCTCTCCCTGGCGGCCCAGCAACACTCATCCACCCCTGACGAGAAGAACACCGCCGACGATGCCGCCGACGTCGACGCCACCCCCGAGCCTCTGGACGGCGAAGCCATCAGGTCCGCCGAATCCGCCGCCCTGGCGCTGTGGTCCACGCTCGAGGATCTGCGCCTCGCTCTGGCGGACGCGCACCACAAGCAGCAGCAGGGGGATGACGACAGCAAGAAACGCAAGCGCCCGTCGCCCGCGACGCCGGCAACCTCGTCCGCCTCGCTCTGGAAGCGCATGACGGCCCTCGAGGCCGAGTCGCTGGCGCACCGGCGCGCGGTGCTGGACAAGTGGTCCCAGAAGGTCCGCGGCGCGACCGCGGCGACCACCGCCAACGCCCGGGGCAAGCTGCTGTCGGCCTCGACGGCCTCGCAGACGATCTCCACCGTGCTGGACGCGCAGGTCGCCACCGAGACGGCGGCCGGGCTTCGCGCCGTGAAGCGCGCCCGCACTGCCGACGGCACAAAGTCCACGACTACCACCACCAGAGCGACGGAGCAGCCCGACGAGCCGGTGGAGCCCCTCTACGACGACACCGTCTTCTACCAGACGCTGCTGCGCGAGCTGGTCGAGCAGCGCATGTCCTCCTCGGACGCCATCACCAACGGCCTCGACACCCTGCACCTGCAGCTGCCCTCGCGGCTGTCGGCCGTGCACCCGGTCACCGGGATGCGCAAGGACAAGGTCAAACGCGACGTCGACACCCGCGCCTCCAAGGGCCGCAAGATGAAGTTCGAGATCCACGAGAAGCTGCAGAATTTCATGGCGCCCGAGGACCGCGGGGCGTGGACCCGCCACGCGCGCGAGGAGTTCTTCGCTTCGCTGTTGGGGAACACGGCCAGCGGTATGCTACGCGAGGAGGACGAGGATGAGGGTGTGGATGCGGCTGGTGAGGATAGTGATGTCGATCGTGAGGAGGGTGGATTGAGACTCTTCCGGAACTAGTTTCTGGTTGCTCAGGTGGCGTAGCATCGATACTCGATTATTATTTAGAAGAGGTTTCATCAAAAAAAAAAAAGGATGTCCTGTATATATCGCATTGGATTGGAAATCAACAAAAGCCTCCGTTTCGCCTCAAATCCGGCCTAACATTATCATCATTATCATCGTCGTCATCATCATCATCACAAGCATCATCGTAATCCGTACTCAGTATCAGCATCACCATTCTTCTGGCTCCTCTTGTTCGTTCTAACTCAACCATCATATGTCTCGCTCCACGCAGTCATAAGTCGTCAATCATAAACCTGTAATCCAAGTCTCACGGGGCACGGCAACCCAAGTCGAGGAAAGTGCCTTCCGTTCCCGCGAGCGCATCACCAGCCGCTGATCCGAAATCATGCATCCGTGGAGTGCCCTTGATGCCGTCGTCCGCTTATCCCGAACCCAATCCCATATCCCATCCCATCACCTCCGACCAGACGACCCACTACCACTGCTACTCGTACTCTGACACGAAGACCGCGAACCCGACTTCGCGCCCGCCGGCGTATACCTCGGGGGCGCATAATGCCCACAACCCTGCTGCTGGTGATGAGTAAGGGTCGCGGGCCGCTCCCAGGCGAAATCCGTCCGCCTCGGCAACCCCAGCATCCGCTCCTGCACCGCAGCTTCCAGCTGGAGTTTCCGGTCGACTTCCTCCTGCGGCGAGAGGAAATGCGGATACCCGTTCCAGTCGACGATGACGGAGCCGCTCACGTCGTTGTAGCCGGGGAGGAGAGTGGCTGCTGCTGCGGCTGCTGCTGCTGCTGCCTTCGGGGACGTGTACGTGGGCGAGGTAGTTCGGCTGGTGTCGATCATCGCGGTGGCTCGGGCTCGGGGTCGGTGTAACAGGAATTGCTGTTCGAGGGCTTTCTCATCTAGCGACACCAATAGATTGTCCGGGGGATCGATGTTCTGCCAGCAGAGGGTGGGTTGGGGCTTGGGGTGGAAGGAGATTGAGAATGCTCCCTGAGGTTTGGGGGTGGTGGTACTTGTTTCGCTGCCGTTGGGTGGATGGGCGGCGGGCCTGGGCTTTTTGCCAGTGAACAGGGCGTGGATCGAGTGGCTGCCCGTCTTTGGAGGCTTGCTGGCTTGGGGATCAGGCTGCGATGGTGGAGGGGGAGGGCCTCCTCGTTTCTGCTTGCGGAAGAACGGCATCGGGCCGTCGAAAAAGAAGTCCGGCTTGGTCTCACGAGCGTGACGGAGAAAGTAGGTTTACCTCGGTCGCTGAATCAAGGAAACACGGTGAGCAGTTGTTATGCTGAGCAAGTGAGAGGTCTTATCTTGAACAAGGCTTTGTTTTCACATGCGTGGACTGCTGCGCGAGACCGACAATGCAGATAACCAGACCGTCTGGAGCAACGCCTTGGCCGGCAACATTGTCAAGACAGATGCAATCCGAAATGCTATGGAAGGCGTGAGAGGTCAAGGCCACTCGGTTGGGACATCAGGCGTTTCAGGTATAAAGTTGCGCTCATTTATGGTACCACGTGGGATGGGACGGACGTCATTTGCTCAGGACCGCCGGTTAGTGAGCGAACGCAGGGTCCAATTATTCTCGGCGCGCTCAAACCCTATCAGAGTCGATCAAGGCCGTTACAACTCATTCCAGGCTGGAGAAGCATGCAAGGATGTTAGCGCATCCTGTTCTATTATTATAGGATGATTCCATCGGGGGATGCTGTCCAAGTGCCGTTCACCGCTAGACCAGGACCCTGCCGTTGTGCATAAGAACCAACTCCATTGCCTTGATGCACCCACAGGAGCCCATTTGCAAGATAGAAACCAAAATCTCTCACGGAGGCGATGACATAAGCTATCGGTAGGAGAATCTTGGTCCTGACGGAGCATTTGCTCCCCAATCGGCGAAATGTCATGGCAAAACCTCCGGGAAACGCCGCGGCTCGATAAGCTTTGGGCTGGCTTCGACTTTGCATGAGCTCGGAGCGAATGAGAGGAAGAAGGAGCCTCTGATCGGATTGAAACAATCTGCCATGTTGATTCTCCACATATTGAGATGCTCATCCCCGTGACCGCTCTTTTCCCCGTGCAGGTGGAACAAATGGCGGACCATGAGGGTGGATATGTTCTCCCTCCGCAAATCCGAAATCTGGCGTTAGCAGTCCGAATCATCGTCGGCCCATTGCTCCCGTAAAGCCTGAATCGCCTGCGTGACATCCCAGCCAGTCCTCGTTTCCATCTCACGTAAAAGAGCCTCGGCAGCTTCCTGATCCTCTCGCCGTCGAATGACCCAACCCCCTGTATCTGTCAGTCATGCGTGTGATCAACATTCCCCTCAACAGTTTGCGGAGGACTCTACTCACATGCTACCAGACTATGACGCGCAGTGAACAGCGTATTCTCCGCTTTGGAGTTGGACTTGGCCAAGCCGAGGACCATGAAGAGGTGGTACCTGACTACTTTCTGCGCGTGCACCGTGAGCACCGAGTCCCGAAGGCAGGTTCTGCGGAGATCCACGAACCTCGATTTGTCTGGAGACTTGGAAGTTCTGAGCAACGAGCGCGGGACTGGGGCAAGTGGTGACGGCCAGAACGATCTTTGCGATGTGATAGTACTGTGCCCCGACAACTACAGCGTGTGGACTGCGTTAGCTGATCTTGCATCCAGCACTGTTGGTTTGCCCTCACCGTGGACAGGCAGCAACATCCAAATCTCCGGCAATCGCTGCTGAACATCCTTTCCGCGTGGTACGGAGCGTATCGCGTCGAAAGACGCAGGCTTTGCATTGTTCCAGGCCTCCACTTCCTGTGCCAGTCCCTGCAGCCCGCTTAGATCCACAGATGGCTCGTGACCACCAGGATTGAACGCACCACTGAGGACTTTCGCCAGCAGAAAGACCATCCGACTGGCCCATGCAAAGTCGTCATTCCTCACGAAGACAGTGGACCGGTGGAAGCTCTCGAGGTTCGTCCGCAGTGGCTTCTGCGAGATGAGCGAGATGTATATATCTTCACGGAGACAGAGCCAGGCCGCTGCCTCGCCCAGCCCTCCCGATGAGCCGAAGGACGATATTGTGTTTAGGATGCGCGCTGTACCAGCCAAATGGAATTGATTGTCGTCAGCTGGAATCGGTCAGCTCAGCCTCGCACAAAACGTCACGGGGTTGTTGATCATACGCTCCATTTCTTCGTGCTGTCGGAGGATCGCAACCGTTGCAAGGACGACATCCGTTATGTCTGCGCTCGAGCCGGACAGGGCCGGAATCAGAAGTTGCAGGCAGTGGTTATGGTACTGTAGAGCCTCGGACGCATCGACTCTGCGCTGTCGGTCGATGTGTCGGGAGGAGAAGGCGAAGATCGCCGAGCGCAAAGCCGGTTCCTGAACCGCTTTTACCGGCACATCGGTCTCGAAATGCCGATCGGGATCAGTGATATCGGCCTGTGCATGGTCCGCAGAGCATCAGCAACCGTTGGGAAGAGGCTTGAATTTCCCACCGGACTCACCCATAACGCCATGTTCTCGACAAAGTTACGCATCAAGATAGCTTCCCGCGCGCTGAATGCCGGTTGATGCGTCGTTGACTGCTTGATGCTTGGCGGACTGTTTGTGCCTAGAGCTCCTGAATGACCGATGATAGGCCGGATAGAACCCCGCGCTCTCACGGCCACCGGCCCACTATCGTGACTGCTCTGTCCGGCGCTCACGCAGACTGATCGGTGGCCATCTAGCATAGACCCAGCGGGATGGCCTGGGCTCGGATTGTCGGTGAAAGGGCTCGACGATAGATCACACGGCGACCACACGAACCGACAATCATCGTCCAAGAGCTGCGGTGACCGACCCACCTCATAAAGTCGCTGGATAGCCTGCGTCTCATCCAGGAACTCCACTATCAATCGCCATGAGAACAGATCTTCCAAGTTCTGAGGGCACTTTACCAGAACCCAGCAAGTCCGGCCACAGATCTTGCCCGGGAAACGCAGTCGCAGTCTCCGTGGGCAGATTTAGCCCTCTTCGAAAGCGGACGTTGAAGCCTCGCTTACAGTCGATTCCTGCTCGGTGACAATGTGCACAGGAGGGTAGATTGGTGTCGCCTGAGGGATTATTAAGAGGAAGAGCTGCTATTGTGTGTGTGCATGAACTCACACTTTAAGTGCCGGGCTGCAATGGGGATGTCATAAGGCTATATTCAACCATCATTGAGAGGAATGAGGGGCATAGGAGATGAGCATACCTCTGCATCGTTGGCTGAGGAGGCGATATGTTCGCTGATTAGCTTAATCAATTTGTGCCTAGGGTCAGAGGTCGAGGAATTACCAGCCGGTGATGAGACGACTTCTCCGTCTGGTTGCGGGGAACATTGCGTCTTTAAATTGTAGAAAGACTGGATGAAAGACGGAAAGAGCTGCCTTGTGAAGAGGGAGGAGGAGGAGGAGGAGGAGGAGGAGG